TTGATGTACCAAGTACATTAGGATTTACGGGATGTGTTCCCGGTTCCGGCTGATCTAAACTATGCAGCCTAATTTTGAATTTAGGAAATCTATAGTGTATGCTAGGCCAAAGAGATGTGTTTTTAGTCTAGATTTGAACTGACAGATTGTGTCTGCTTCCCGGACAATGTTAGGAAGATTGTTCCAGAGTTTTGGTGCTAAATAGGAAAAGAATCTACCACCAGCAGTCGATTTTGATATTCTTGGTATTATCAACTGGCCGGAGTTTTGAGATCGCAATAGATGTGAAGGACTATAATGCGTTAAGAGCTCTCTCAAGTACTGCGGAGCTAAACCATTTAGTGCTTTATTAGTAATCAGCAATATAGATTGCTGATAGAACCGGGCAAATATGGTCATTCTTCCTTGTTCTGATAAGAACTCGAGCTGCTGCGTTTTGGACTAGGGCAACCACCCAGTAGAGCATTACAATAATCTAGCCTTGATGTCTTGAACGCATGAACTAATTGTTCCGCATTTGTCAATGAGAGCATATGGCCTAATTTAGATATATTTTTTAGATGGAAAAATGCGGTTCTACAGATACTAGACACATGACTTTCAGATGAGAGAATGATATCAAAGAGCACACCCAGGTTCCTAACCGATGACGAAGACTTAACAGAGCAGCCATCAAGTGTTAGACAGTATTCTAGGCTGTTATGTGTGTAAGTTTTTTGTCCAATAATTAGAATCTCTGTTTTTTCAGAATTTAGTTGTAGGAAATTACTAGTCATCTAATTTTTTATATCTGCTATGCATTCCATTAATTTTGTGAATTGGTAAGTTTCGTTAGGTTTTAAAGAAATATACAGCTGAGTATCATCAGCATAACAGTGAAAGCTAATTCCATGTATCCTAATGATATCTCCTAATGGTAGCATGTACAGAGTGAATAGCAGGGGTCCTAGTACTGAGCCTTGTGGTACGCCATACTGAACTTGCGATCGATAAGACATCTCTTCATTTACTGCTACAAACTCATAACGGTCAGATAAGTATGATTTAAACCATGCTAAATGCAGTTCCACAAATGCCATCAAAGTTTTCTAGTCTATTTAAAAGAATGTTGTGGCCAATTGTGTCAAAAGCAACACTAAGATCAAGTAACACTAATAGAAAGATACAACCGCGATCGGACGATAAGAGCAGATCATTTGTGACTCCAATGAGAGCTGTCTTGGTACAATGATGTGGTCTAAATCCTGATTGAAAATCCTCGCAGATATCATTTCTTTCAAGAAAGGAACACAGTTGTGAGGATACTGCTTTTTCCAGTATCTTTGACAGAAAAGGTCGATTTGAGATTGGCCTGTAATTAACTAATTCTGTAGGATCAAGTTGCGTTTTTTTAACAAGCGGTTTTATCATAGTTAGCTTAAAAGTTTTTGGTACGTATCCTAGCAACAAAGAGGAATTAATGATATTAAGAAGAGGATCTATGACATCTGGAAGCATCTATTTCAGTAGTTTAGTCGGTATAGGGTCTAGCATACAAGTTCTTGATTTAGATGAATTAACGAGTTTGCAAAATTCTTCCTCTCCTTTAGCATCAAATGAACCAAATCTTTCCTCAGGGAGACAGCAATGCACCCCCTAATGCGATACTGTAGTAGACAGTTGCATAGTTATAATTTTGTCCCTGATATTATCAATCTTATAAGTTTAGAAATTCATAAAGTCATTCCTGCTGTGTTGCTTGAACACTTCTGGGCTTGAAGCTTTCTTTTTCGTTAGTTTAGCCATTGTTTCAAATAGATACCTAGGATTATGTTTATTTTCTTCTAATAGGTTTGAAAAATAAGTAGACCTAGCAGTTTTTAAGGCCTCTCTGTATGCAATCGAGCTCTCCTTCCATGAAATACGGAATACCTCTAGTTTAGTTTTCTTCCACATACGCTCCATTTTTCTGGCTGCTCTCTTAAGGGCCAGAGTGTGCTCGGTGTACCACGGCGTTGGAAAAGAGAGAGTTAAAAGTTTCTGTCACGATATCGAGTTCTTCTAAGCTATCCGGGATGCTGAAATGATGAAACTGATTAGGAAGATTATTGATAAAGCAATCTTTAGTAGCAGAAGTTATAGGTCTAACATATTTATAACATGGAGTCGGCTTTGCTGCTTTGGCTAAGTGAAGTTTACATGAGACTGGATAGTGATCTGAGATAGTGGTCATCACTCTGCTGCAGAATTTCAATGGCATCAACATCTATTTCATGTGATAATATTAGAGTATGATATTAGAGTCTAAAGTATGATTACGACAATGAGTGGGCTGATTCACCAGTTAGTCCATGAACACAACCACCAGTATCCTAAATCCGGTTCCTTGCTCGGTTATTAAGAATTGCTTTGCATCAATTTGCCCTCATATGCTTTCTATTCTAAATGTATCATTAAGTTCTGAAATCATTCCTCCAGAATTAAAAATAGCTGCCATTACACCAGTCCCTAAGAAGTCTGGTTGTGATGTTTCTGATCTGTTTCTGAATGATTCATATTTACATGCTTCCATTTGGGCGGATCATCAATAAATATGACCTTGGGTATCACTGTTATGCGGACGATACACAGATTTACATCACTACAAACCTGGACGCTCAATTCTCATTAATAACTTTGCATAGCTGTCTAGCAGAGATCAGCACATGGATGCAGAACAACTTCCTGAAGCTAAATGGCTCTAAAATGGAACTGATGCTGATTGGTACAGAACTCGGACTAACAACAAAAGGGAACGTTTCGGTTGCGGATGTAACCCTCGTTCCCTGGGTAGGGAACGGAGACGTTCCATCTTCCTGCCACTTTCTGCTGTGCCGCAGGGATCGCCTGACCTCAGTCTTGGCTCCTCAGCGATGAAACTATATTGCTGCCAGCTACCTCCTTTTATACTCACAGGTGAGGGGAGTTACGCTATGCAAAATCCACAGACCCATGGCATTTATTTGCCATTGGCTCGTTTTTGTTGAGCGAAGCTTATAGGCTTTCTAAGCGAAATCCCCATTCGTTGTCATCCGACGGAATGTCTCCGTTCCCTGCTCAGGGAACGAGGGTTACATCTGTAACCGAGATGTTTTCCACCAAAGCTGAACCACATAATAACAATCCCTTTTAGGTCTCATAGTTAAAATTAGGTGTAAATTGTTGAATAGATTTACTATGCATAAAACTCTTAGTTTAATAAAATTTAATGAAGTCTAATCTAAAATCTAAAAGTCTTATCAGTTTGCAAAGAAATCTGTGATCTCCAAAGTTGCCAGACATGACTGAATGTATTGCTGTGCAATTAAATTTGAAATGATGATATTATTTGTCTATTCTTAGTGGTATAGTTATAGTTTCATACAGAGACACTTAAAGACATGGCCATTGTATAACTGTATTGTCTTCATGAGTCGTTTGTGCTTGGACCCTGATAATTGCCGCTTGTGGCTATATTTCCAGTTTGTAATTTTCCAATAAAACTGCATCCCTTTCTAATAAATATGTGCGCACACAGCATGACCATTTCATTGCATTTTTTTTTGGTATTTAATCCAAATTTACCATAGATTCATTTTTCATCATTTAAAATGACAAATGAATGTAATCAAATGGGTTGAGCTGTTTGTGTATAATGTTTAATTCATGCATAATGGTTAATTTAGTGATATAGCCAAGAAGCAATGAATTTTGGAAGTAACTTACATGTCAGTGTGTCTCACGAGATGATACGGTTTCTTTTTCTGTGTGATTGGTTGGGCAGTGGGCTGTTTTGGGGTATTTCCCTGCTTCTCTTTCTCTTCCCTTGTGCCCTGTAAGACCTGTCAATCCGGTTCCCTTCAACTGTAATTGACCTACTCTCATCCCACTTCCTTCTGTCTGGTATCCCCATCTAACTTTTCCTTTCCCTCAAAGCCTTCCTCAGCTTCCCTTCCTAGTAACACTTATCAGTAAAAATATAATGGATGTTTGAATATGTAGTACTGTACATTTCATTCAGTTATGCATTGAATTTTTATAATGTGACAGTTTAGGAAATAAGACTGATTATTGTCAGATTATATTAGGTTTCAGTTGTTAAAGGTGCACAGAGTTTGTTTTTTCTTCATTAAATACCCCTAAAGAAATGAATAGTACCTTTTAAAAATGGTACCCCCCCCCCCCATAGATAGATATATAGATAGATAGAGAGATAGATATAGAGATCAAGAGATAGCGATAGATAGAATAAATAAAATAATTAATTAATTAAATGAATGAATATAGCATATTTACAATGACGTCAACTACCATATCAACGTAAACAAAAAAAGTAAAGTTCGGCTTTAAATACATAGTTTAATAAACACACACACACACACACACACACACACACACAAAATACTGGTCTCAAAACACTGTGCGCATTTTAAAATACTTTACAAACTCCATCAGACATTTTCTTGAGCTGACCAAACTATTGTGTCCACAGGGGGAGAAGGGAAAGAAGGGCAAAAAGGGGCCTAAGGGGGAGAAAGGAGAACAGGGTGCCCCTGGATTAGATGCACCCTGCCCACTGGTATGTCCCATCCGAGAGTTTGAAAACTGCCCCTGAAGTAAGACGGAGGACCCTAAAGGGAAGAGTTGTCCCGTGGTCAAAGTGGCAACCCACCTCATCCTTGATATCTGAAATAGCTACTGTATGTTGTTTTGCTAAAACAAATACTTTGAAAAATCTTTTTAAAACTGTTCCCAGGGGATTAGGAGAAGGAATTCCTAATCTTTCAAACCACGCAAATTACTTTCTAGTACAAAAGCCTGGGCAAATTGGTTTTGTTTAGGGTAAAACATTGTTCATATCAAGGAAATGTGGTTAACATGATTACCAAGAAACCACTGGACCACTCCTCTCTGCCCTGTTCCGTGCCCTGTCAAAGGGTGGCTGGAAGGGTGCCTGCAGCCTCTATCCTAGTAACACTCCTAGTTCCGTTTCTATGACACAGGGTTTCCGGGGCTTTAAGGGTGAAAAGGGCGAGCCAGGTCAGCCTGGCCTGGATGGGCTGGATGCCCCGTGCCAATTGGTACAGTATCCTGTTTTCCTACCTATCCTTTGCATGCCTAACTCTGCACCCACACCACCGAGCACCTCTCATCCATGCTTTTGCTGAAGAAGCTTCAACTCTAACCTCCATGCATGGCTTATAAATAGTGGAGCACAGCTTACCTCATTGCCTTTTTACATTTAACACATGTACTGCATGCCTGCTTTCTACAGGTAAAGTCAAAGACATATTAAAAGACATTTATGTAACTGTACAATAGCATCAAATGCACTCATTTATTCCCTAATTAGTTTAATTCACTCTTTTGTATGTATGAAATATTTACTGAAAACTGCATTCACTCGCACCAATATCATAATTTTAGTGATTCTTATCACCTGCTAGAATAACTAAATCTTATTCTTGTTTTCCTAAGTAAAATTAATTGAATAAAAAAATAAAAATAAGTACCATACTCTTTCCACTTATTGAATAGTGTTTGCCCTCCTAAGATGAAATAACCAGTCTTAATTAACCTTATCCCCTAATAATCCATTCCCGAGGTTATTTAGTCAGTGTCAGCATGAGTCTCTCTCCTCCAGCCTTTAACCCTCTCCTGTTCCCTCTCATAAATCTGTTCCAATTGGGCACTTGATCCTGCTGAAGAAGAAAATCATGAGTCTTCAAACCATATCCTGAATCAGCATGTTTAATGGCTTCAGATAATTATACATTTGACTGTGTCATTTTCATGTCCGAATAAACATGTAATTATTCAAAAAGAAGGTAAACATTTAGACCATGTATATATGCAAGATAGCATTTAATACATTTTAATAAAATTATTTATGATAATTTGAATGAATACTTCAGTTTGACTTTTTCTCATGCCTATTTACAATGTTTGATCAAAGATTAAGTGTAGTGCCAATACCACATTTGAGTTTTGACTATTCATGACCAATTCAGAATTGCTTTATTTTTTAATCAGCTTGCTTCTCATTACAATGTCTGTTTTGTTTAAGCATAAATGAATATATGAAAGTGACTTGTTTGTTTGTTTATTTATTTATTGTATAAACATTGTGGTAACACTTTACGGTAAGGGTACATGAATTATCATGACTTCATGAATGAACAACACCTTAATTAAAACATTAACTAAGATGAGCACATCATCATGAATTATGATTTATTACGCATGATCATGATGTTTTCTTTGTTCACAGTTATGCCACCTTTCAATAGCACATTGTTCATCAGTGTTTCAAAGAACCTAGTCACCACTTTAGTTAAGGGGCCACACACATGATGAAGTCATTGATAGATAATGCTTAGTTAATGATGACTTCTGTGTTTGATTTACAGAATGTGTGTGCTATGAGCTGTGATTAGTCTATTATGGTGTCTGTCCAATAGTCATCATTAACTAAGCATTAATCTATTAATGACTTCATCATGTGTGTGGCCCCTTAATGTGTTGCAACTAAAGTGGTGACTAGGTCACTGACCTAGACAAAGAACAAAGAAAACATCATGATCATGCGTAATAAATCATAATTCATGGTGATGTGAATATCCAACGCATTCTCATCCCAAAGCGCCATATACAACGCTTTTGCAAAAGCGTAAATATCCAACGCACATGGCACCCTTTAACGTCTAATGAGACGCTTCGGTTATGGTTAAGTTTAGGTATGGTGTAGGGTAAGGGTTAGACCACTAGGGGGCGCCTTCTGCTCAAATATATCTGCGTCTCATTTTACGTTAAAGGGTGTCATGTGCGTTGGATATTTACGCTTTTGCAAAAGCGTCCTATATGGCGCTTTGGGATGAGAACGGGCTCGAATATCTTAGTTAATGTTTTAATTAAGGTGTTGTTCATTCATGAAGTCATGAATGAAAAACGTTGAACTTGTGTTAGTTCCTGATGATTCATGAGAAATAATGCATGAATGAATGCATAATTCATGAATTAATTCATACATGAATTCATGATAATTCATGTACCCTTACCGTAAAGTGTTACAAATATTGTGTTTGGATGCACCATTGACTGGCACAATCACCATCTCACGAAATACATGAGTTGACACAAATGTTATGGCTAGCCACTTTGGGGTTTCAGTTTAGTTAAACATATTACTTCAAAAGCCTGTTCAGATTTTAATATATTGATTTATTAAGGAAATGAATAGAAAAACAGGAACGATTAACATATAGACATATACTGACACTGCATATTTCGTTTTTTCCACCACAGGGTCCAGATGGACTTCCAATGCCAGGCTGTTGGCAGAAGGTAAGTTTAAGATCCTTAAAAATCCTAAAGATATTTTGTAAAGTGTGGTTAAATGTTAGGGATAAAGAGCTTTCAACAGCTCCGTTGACATAATAACAGCATGAAGTTTATTAATTCATAGAAGCCAGTGAGTAGTAACTCACATCCTTTGGCCTTTGAAACTGTCTTTACCTTTTTTCCATGTATTAAAACATTCACATCTTTGTGTTTTCTTTACAGTGATCAGTCTAATACAAAACGCATGGAGTTTGTAAATAAAGCTTCACATTTTTGTATTTATACATTTTTTTTAAATTCCTGAAATGATTAAGTAAAAAATATATACAGTATATATAAAGGAAAGTGGATGTATGTGTATACATAAAAAAGAAAAAAGCAAGTCATGAAGCTCACACCTAACTACTCCTGTCATTTCCGTGTGCTCATGGCAATGTTTGTTATATTCACATCAGCACTGTGGAATTTAGAGACTTGACCAGCAAGAAATTCTTATTCACAAGGGTGTGTTTGCCCGGCTTTGCATGGCCCAGAATGAGAATGGAAACCAAAAGAGACTAACAGGGTAAACTGAAAAGGAGGAGGAGAAAGCGACTAAGGGATCAGCTTTGGCTCTTAAACAAGATCTTGGTGTGTTTGCCATTTTATCTCCACACCATCCATACTACCAGCTGAAATGACTAAAGACTCTACCCATACACCCCAAACCAAGCATGATTCCAACTTGAAGTATGTATACATATCACTTTGTGGTATGGTTAAACTGTGTGGCTTCTGCAAATCACTAACTGCGTGTCTTTCTGCTCGAATCAAAAAGATGTGTTTCTCTAGAGGGGTTTCATTTTTCTTTTGTTTTCACCTTATAAAGGGTGTCACTCCTTGGCTGGTGGCTTGAGAAAATCAGAAAAGCAGGATTGATGGATTTCTTTATTGCAAAGAGCTCAGTGTGGCATCTGGCCCTCCTGCGCCGCAACGTTGCTCTGCCTTGTAGCGATAGTGACAACTTACACATTTGAATTATCAAAAGAGCAGGACAAAAGATGAATCTGAGTAAAAACTCTCATACAGGAAATGTTGTATGTGATGTATGGGAAGTTGCTACGTTCATCCCTCCACGAGCAAAGCCATCTTTGTTCTCTTTTCAGTGGGGTTCTTTTTGTAGCAGTGAGCTACACGGTCTGAGAAAAGCAGGATGGTGTCTCTTTAATTATGACCTTTTTCTCATTGTTTGATTTGTTCATTTTGTATGTTATAACAAAGACTATAAAGACCATAGTCTTTGTGCATGAAGTATTTTTTCATTCATTCCTTTGTTGGTAATGGTTATTTCTTGTCTATTCTTTGATTTGTAGATATAAGTGTATTATTTTGCAGCTATAAAGGCTCATAAATGCTATTCATGTATTGTTGGAGCTAAAAGTGTTACATTGTTTAAAACTTTCTTAAAGTGAAAGTTGGGACATACTGTGGTTTTGTGGCACTGATATTATGAGTAACCATGACAAAAACATTCTAAATCAATCAGTATTAGTCACCATAATAAAATACAGTGTTAATATACAGTACAAGGTGCAAACGTACAGCAATCATTCGAGAGCTTTATTCCTTAGTCAGCCATGATTATCATTTTATAGCCTATAATCAGCACCGCTACATTCCAGAGTTCATTTATTTTTACAGCTTTAAAACCATTTTGACTATTACTTTGAACTTTTTAATGAGGCTTCAGCCACAATCGATACATTAAAACATGTCTGATCACTGCTGGCATTATAATGGGTTTTCAATCTGGAGGTTGCAGTATTATGTTCTCTCTCAAACTCTGGTGGGCATTTAATATTATGATAATAACAATGCAGAAATGTTTTACTGAAATTAAAAAAATTACAGTAATAGTGTGGTAAAATTGAGATAAAAGGCTCAAATAAGAGGTTGAAATCAGATTAGACCCAGATTGATTAAGCTGTAATAAATCAATACTTGTTCATTTTTGTTAAATTTTTTATTGAATTTTGATGTTAAATGTAACAAAATGTACTCCTCTTTATGCAAAAACTGACACTTCAACATTTCTGACACTTTGACAAATCAACATTTCAGCAAAAACAATCTAAACCTTGTCAAAAGTAGTCTTTGAGAATGTCTAAGTATAAATCCAAATCCACAACTTAATACAAAAAAAGGTTTTATGTCTAAAAACCACTAGAAACTTTATGCCCTTTTCTTTTTTACTCCCACCAGATAAAATTCTATTTTTAACGCATTGTCTCTATTTTAAACTGGGATACTGCTTTATTTGGAAAATAATAGAAAAATATATTAGAAAAAAATAGTTCATACATTTTTTTATAAATATAGCATAGTATCATAAAATCCCCTTAAAATTAAAAATAATAACTTACAAATAAATTGTAAATAACAAATATTATTGAACAAAAATATATTACATTTGGTTTCCTGAAAAAATTTACATTTCAAGTCTTCGGTCATTTATGACCACGAAGGAGCGTTAAATATATCACTGAACATCCGCTCTAATGACACAATTTTGATGAAATATTGAGTGGAAAGTCTGAAATTATTTTTTCTCCTGTTCTTTCTCTCCATCTGTTGTTGCATTATGTTTAGATTAATATATGTATAGTGGGATATAAATGTACAGTTAAATATTTTTCCTTTGATTAAAGTGCAATTTATATTTCTTTTTATGCACTGATGTAATGTACACCATGCATTCAGATGTCATTTACTTAATAACAATAAGAATATATGGTAACACTTTATTTAAAGGGGTGTGCATAGACTGACATGACACTGTCATGAATGTCAAGTTGTCATAACAAAGACATTTTTTTTTGTCTTTGTTAATGTCAAGTTGTCATAACAAAGACATTTTTGTCTTTGTTAATGTCATGTTGTCATAACGAAGACATTTTAAACAATGTCAACTTTGCATTAAAAGTGTCATAATTTACCGAATGACGCTTAATGACAACAGTCATAAACATTCATAAAGACTCCTTCATGTTCATGACAGGTGTTATGTCATGTTTATGACAGTGTCATGTCAGTCTTATGCACACCCCTTCAAATAAAGTGTTACCCAAGACGGAAAAAAGTAATGCTAAGCTAGATTTTTTTTTTCAAATATTTGTTTCAGACTGATAATGCTGTGCATGCTTACCAGTCACCTTTTCTGTTACTGTGCATGCATACCAGTCACATTTTCATAAACATTTAATTAAACATTTGTGTTCATTTATTGTTACTATTATAATGTCACAAAATCTTTCTTTATGAGTTTTTTGTTTGTAGAAGGCATGGGAGCCATATGTGTCTTTTAAACTAATGTTTGTTAATTCATTCAACTTTCAATGGAACAATTCTGAAAACATTTCCTTGTTTTGTTTTCGCCTTTCTTTTTTTTACCACCAAGATAGGTTTATTACAGAAAATTCCATTATTTAACTAATCTTTGCAAGTTGTGACAATTTATGATTTTCTAATATATGTGTGTACAATGTTTAAATAGCTTTTTGATTTACCATGTACTCTGATTGCTTTTTAACTACTTTAACTAGCAAAACATCTACAAAGTTAGATATTGTGCCCCCCCCCCCCCCCCACACACACACACACACACACACTCACACTTACACACTTATATATGTTGTAATGTTGTGAATTTGTTTTACAATTTAGAATAACTGTTCTCTATTTGAATATTTTCTTATTAAAATGGTATCTATTCCTGTGATGGCAAAGCTGAATTTTCAGCATCATTACTCATCTTCAATGTCACATGATCCTTCAGAAATCATTATAATATGGTGATTTGCTGCTCAAGAAACATTTCTTATTATTATCAATGTTGAAAACAGTTGTGTAATTTTTTTTTCAGGATTCTTTGATTTTCGAAAGAACAGCATTTATCAGAAATAAAGCTTTTGTAACAGTATCTTTACTGTCACATTTGATCAATTCTCTACATCCTTACTTAATAAAAGTAGGCTAATGCTTTCTTTCATTTCTAAGCAAAAAACAATTCTTATTGACCCCAAACTTTTGAAAGATTGTGTATAATGTTACAAAACAGAAAACAGTTATTTAAATTGTTAATATATTTCACAATATTACTGTTTCTGCTGTATTTTGGATCAAATAAATGCAGCATTGGTGAGCAGAAGTTAATTATTTTAAAAACCTTAAAAAAAACTTTCTCACATTTCTCAATTCTTATTTGCTATGTTTGCTATTAATTGTTGTTGTTGTTGTTGTAGGCTACAATTTTTAGTGTTGGCTATTTGCAACAAGATTGTGTTGTGCGTGTCCATGGCTCAAGGGCACTTCATTTCCAACTCATGTTATGTGATATTCTGTTGGAGTCAAATAAAATATCTTTTCTCCAAGTGTTTGGCCACTTTATCTACATTTAGATTGGAGCGAACGGTTCACGTTTGCAGTTAGTGATTGAACTGATACGTGATGGGTCTGTAGATCAACACCGCACCCCCCCCCCCCCCCCCCCCCTTCCCCTCTCTCTCTCTCTCTCTCTCTCTCTCTCTCTCTCTCTCTCTCTCTCTCTCTCTCTCTCTCTCACACACACACACACACACACACACACACACACACACACACACACACACACACACTCACGTGGGCTACATCAATTGAGTTGACAGTGTTGTACTCATTCTACCTCCAGCAGCAGTCACACGAGTTTGTGAGCTCCTACAAGCACAGAAATGGCAACTTTCGATAAACAGAAGACTATCGATCTCAGACGGAAACATGTAGGGTAAGAAAGGAGACATTACTGCATAACGCACGAACTAATGTCTATCAGAGGTATTGACACCAATGACCTGTTTTGTGACGATTTTGACATGTTTGCGTACCTAAATTATTAGCCCATGACCCTAAAAGAAAAGCGTACGTGGCACAGGGATGTCGTTTTCTTCACGAAGAAATAAAACAACAGCAATATCAGAAGACATATGAGATGAGTTTGAGATAGACTATGCAGTGCATGGAAAGTAAGGAAACTTGGTTTCATAACTGCACGTTTAAGGCTGGATCAAGTCTATACCGGTGTCATTATAAAAAGAGGATTTGATATGTTGTACTGTAGGCTATATGTAATCTGAAATCATTATTTCACAGAATTCGTATTTCACAGAAAAAGACTAAAAGCACGCTAATAATTCAAAATGCTTTTTGGCTTAAACTCTTAAAATTTCTTGATTAATGCGCAAGTCGATCTTTTCAGAAAGTCTTATATTTCTGTCTTTCCCCTCCATATAGTCCATCATGCAAAGTGTTCTTCAGTCATGACCCTATCAAGATTGTGCGAGCAAGGGGCCAGTACATGTACAACGAAAAAGATGAGAAATACCTGGATTGCATAAACAACGTAGCACATGGTATGTAATTGTAAAAGGAAATTGCTGTTGTAGTTAATATGATTTTGTATAGAAGATTTGTGGAAAATATCCTCACATAAACAAAACTGTAGCCTAAATATAAAATCTGATCTGAAAGTCTCTCTGTAGAATAGAAATGATGCACTGGGGATTTAATCAAACACTTGTGAACTGTGGACCTGAAGTAAATAAACTTTTAAAAATGTAAATGTTTAAAAGATCCCTAAACAGAGCAACAGTCAAAATTTCTCAAAACCTTATTGTAGGCTACCTACACCTACAGGCAAATTCCTATGCAAGATATTGACTGACAGTTAACCCCTTAAGCCCTGCGGCCAAAAGTACACTGTAAAAAAATGTATTTAAAAAAATAAAATAAAAATGTATTTTTTACGGTAAAAAAACAGCAGCTGTGGTTACCAGAACTTTACCGGTAAAAATATGGTAGGAACGTTAATGTTTTTACAGACTTAACTTAAAATTTACAGTAATAAACCGTATTTAATTTTCTGATAAAATGTTGATTTACCAAGCTTTTGAAAAATTGACATCTGTTTTGTACCATTGTAAAACACTTACAACCAACAATCATCTCAGCAGTGATGAAAGTTTCATGAGCAATCAAAGCTCATCACAAGTAATCTGTCATTAGAAGGTAAATACTTTTAAAGAAGCTGCCCAGTGTCATTCACACAAACATTATACAAGTAAGTAAGCAAGCTTTATTTATACAACACCTATCACAGATAAAATCACAAAGTGCTTTACATGTAGCAAGTTAACAATTTAACAATTAAGAAACATTATACAAGACATAAAACATAACAGCTCAGTCAACTGAAAGCTTGTCTGAATAGAAGTGTCTTCAGCTGTTTTTTAAAAGAATCAAGAGTCTGCCACACGCACATTTTCTGGTGATTACATGAAGGAATCAAAAGTTAGAGCAATTTGAACCAATGCACACTGTTTGTTCAGTTCTTGATTCCCCCCTAATGGGCATTTTCATTCTTGGTTCCTCCATGGAGAATTTGTTGTCATAAACGCAATAGATTATGTTCATTTTGAGCTCATTTTAATTGTAATAATATGCTGTAAAAAAAAATGACATGCCATTTTCAACGATCTGTGAATGTTTCATGAGCTGTATGATGTTTTTGACACATTGCAGTACTTAGTACAAAAAGTATAGATTATGAAAAAAATGTATTATATTTATCAGAAAATAACTCAGCACTACTTAGGAGATTATCAAATTGGCTACATTCATTGTAAATTTCAGACTCTAAGCTTTCAAATGATTCAAATACATTCCGTTTTAGAAGGATTACTCAGCACTCCTTAGGAGTTGTTATTAGTGAGAAGCTGAGATTCTAAGCTTTAAAATGATACCTATTTTGTGTTATTACATTCCAACCTGGTCTCATTGTTAATACGTAGGTATTTAACGTTTTTGCAAAACGTACTTTTAGTATGTTTGAATAGATGCTGAAACGTATAATATAGACGTATTTGCAACATTTAAACGTAACATTATTACGTTTTTACAGCTACAAAACGTTAACTATTTACATATATTCTATATTATAAAGATATCTGTATAATTTCCCTTTTTACCATTTTATAGATAAATGTAAGATCCCGTAACCCTAATCCCAAACCTAAACATATTCATTTTATACATAATATAAAAAAGGATAAAACGTAATGGACAGATGTGTTGGGAAATGGCAGTTTTATTAACAATATGGCATTAAAATATATTTTGAGCCACCAATCCTACTCCTACCCCTAAACCTACCCATAACAATTCCTTAAAACTACGTAACAAACTACAATTATGAAGAAAAACATAACTAACAGACAAGTATAATTACAGTGATTTATTTATTGAGAAAATGTCAAAACCGATACCAAAAGCCATTCACATGATGAAGTGTTGCAGTCGCAATCCTCTCTGGCAGTATTGTAATAGTTTTGTATGAAGTACAGAGCAGAAATTAAATTACTAATCAATGAAAATGTTAATCCAGCTTCGGTTCGCGCTTCTCCATTTCAAATTAACTAAACCGTCACCGAGTCCTTCATGTCGCAATCTGTGACGAAGCAGGGAAGAGCCAATGAACGTTTGATATCACTGCCGTAAAACATGATGTATCGCTTCTCAAGGGTGCAATTTTTGAATTTGAATTCATCAGCGCGGGATTTGACATGTACGGTTGCTGCTGAGAATGGAGGCGAAGATCACTATAGGATAAAAGGCTGAATCATGAGTTGTTTCTTGCAAACAACGTAGGCTATGGATTCTAAAGATTTGGATTACATCAAACTAATAAAATTGATGACTTTTGTGAATTTTTGTTGTGTTTTATAGGAGAAAACGCTTTATGTGTCTCAAGGTAAATAAACTATATTACAAAATGGTTAAACGAGTAACGTTAAAGAATGTATTTTTAAGGTTTTATAGTCTATTGTTTAAAGCTACGCTGTGTAACTTTTTTAATTTATTCTTAGCTAAAAACACTTAGTTCTTTCAAAAATATATGTGCTCATTAATGTATATTTACTTCGTTCAAGTAATAAAGTATTCTCGTGAGTGTATAATATTCCATTACATACGGGTAAGGGGTTCTAATGTCGGTCGCCATGTTGCCCCTCCATCTTGAAAGTACATTAGCCAAAGAGGGAAATACCTGTTAATTCAAGCTTCGGCTTTTGCGTTGCACCGTGTCGAATGTGAAGAGGGGGGTTGCTTGAGACTGATACCGTATTTTCTGCACTATAAGGCACATATAAAAGCTTTTAATTTTCTCAAAAAACGACAGTTCGCCTTATAATGCGGAGCGCCTTATATATGAATTAATTAGTTAACAATGCTCCGCGTTATTAAATTCGCCCGCGAACTCGCGCTCGTGTCCAGCTTATGCCCGCTTTGTCACACGGCCAGTTCAACCTTATCCTCCCTCAGCCTATGTGTGTCTCCCGCTCACGAGCGCTCACTCTACAGACACACGAACAGACACACTGTCCCCGGCGTTGCTCAAATGTTCATAAAGCGCTCTCCGTTCACAGTACCGGCTTGTCTCATTCAAAACAGCCAGCTGTTGCTGTCAGCGAGCCGCCGCACATACTCATATGAGTCAGGCTGCGAATGTAAGTTACGTGCCCACCCCAGCACGCTCACGCTTACTAAATAAACGCCTCACCTCCGGCGCCGCGCACTCGCTACATTCCCTTTAGCATATTAAGGATGCATAACGCAAACCCAAACGCAAACAGTATCTTATGCGTATCAGTATCTTATAATCCGGTGTGCCCTATAAATAAAACATTTTCTAAAATAGTTCATTCATTGAAGGTGCGCCTTATAATCCATTCGGGACAGTCAAGGGTTTGACTGCCTTTCCAGTGCACTTTCAAGGGTAGCCTATAAGGTTGGAAAAACACGGATTAGCTGTTTCTAAGCGAGACTTTCACCTTCACTTTCACATCTGTCCTGTAATCTTATTCATTTAAGACGTATTATTGTATGATCCAAATATATTTTTCACAATGACATCTTACTATGACTAGCCTTCACTTCAGTATGAAAATGATATGGCCTACAATGTAAACTTTGCCTTGTGCTAGTGATGTACAACATACAGAATAACGATAGCACTGATAAAAGTTACTTTACTAAAGCCTAGTTCACACTACATGATTTTAAAACGTCGGGCTGAACTGTGCGGTTCACACTACATGACTTGCTCTCAGTGAAATTAGGAGTGTTCAAGTTGTTTAACTGTTCACACCACACAACACAACGTGATTGATCCACAACAGGAGGTAACTCACTACACGAGTTGACAATGCACTACATCTCTATGTAGTGCGTTGTCAACTCGTGTAGTGAGTTACCTACACGACAACCACGATCGGATGATAAGAGCAAATCATTTTTGACTCTAATGAGAGCTGTTTCAGTACTATGGTACGGCCTAAATCATGAAAATAATCAAATAAATAACGAGTTGACAACAACTCTGTCACCCAATGATTCTATCTTGTCTACAAACCACAATTTGTCATGAAAAACCAGCAATAAAACGAACCAGAAATGACGCGAAACAGCACGTGCGCCAATACCCAGCGAAGAAGAGAACACAACACGTGAATATGGACGTCAGACAGAAACACTGTTGCTGCACACTGTTTGCGCGACGATCTGCTCTTAGAAAAAAATGCAAAAAAAAATATAAAAACTAAGATTTACCTGGTGTCCTCAACCCATGCGTTGCTATGATTGGCTGTACTCATGACATCACTGAGATTGAGTCGCGCGACGGCTCTGGATATCTAGCAGGCTAGATATTTTTCTGGGCTCGGGCAAAGCGTCTGCGAGACGTCTGCGCGAGTTTTCGCTGCATTGTTGGCTCTTTCATACTAACAGATTGGCAAGCGTTCCCCCGCGATTTGCACGCGATAACACCCTGACCTGTCGGCGAGCTCAACGATTTGCAAATCGGGCATACATCGGGCTTAAAATCCTGTAGTGTGAACTTGGCATAACTTGCATTCGTCTGGGAACCTGATAACTGATGTTAGCAATGAAATGGTAAAAAAATAACGAAAACATAAAGCTATTATTCATTTTACATAGATGTCATAACCTATATGTTACCTGACAAATTAAATTACTGCAAATTATAATAGTTTTCTAAAATAACCTCATCACTTGTAACACTCATAGACGTGGAGACGAGGTCGATCTGGAAGCCATGTTAATCTTGGACTACATTGGCCACCGTAGGAGTTAAAACGAAATCGGAATTGAGAGGAACAGAAACGTCTTGGTTACGTATGTAACCCTCGTTCCATGAGTAGGGAACGGAGAAGTTACGTCGGATGACGGAGAATGGGGGTTTCGCCTAGAAAGCCAATCCTCTTCGAGTATTAAAAAACGAGCCAATGGCAAAGAAATGCCATGGGTCTGCGGAATTTGCATAGCGCATCTCTGCCTC